AGCTTCCGGAGCTCACGGGAGTGTCAAAACTGGAGCTTCCGGAGCTCACGGGGAGTGTCAAAACTGGAGCTTCCGGAGCTCACGGGAGTGTCAAAACTGGAGCTCCCGGAGCTCACGGAGAGTGTCAAACCCGGAGCCGGAGCTTGAAATCGATATAACGTTGGCGGCTTATGTAGCCACAGGAAACCCCGCCATCCGCGGACGCAGACGAGAGATGAGCTGATTCACGCGGTCTGAAAGTGAGATCATGAGGTTGGCAAATTGCGATTGGAATTCGATATTCGAATACACTCGAGTATTAACATCGAAATTTCGAGTTAAAAGATTGTCAGGAAAGCACAGCGGGTGGCTCGGTCTGATGCAAAATATTTAAGTGATGCATTTTTTATCGGCGGGACATATGAGGACGGCTAGCATTTACAGCGTTTAATTACACATTGAATGCTAGGTTTCAGAATTTTATGTGGCTTTTAGAATTTGGACGACTCTGGTTCTTAGGGTTTGGATCCACGTTTTAGGATTAGAACGTTTGCAACGTTCGTATCAATCTGAATGTTTTTGGCCCTTCCCAAACGGCAATATCAGTTCTAGCTCGAACACGATGGCTCATCGCACGCAACGCATTAGCGAACGTCTCCCAGACCATTCCTCTGGTCTCCAGAGGGCTTTCTTCTGTAGGGCTTCTCCACACCGGTCGTATGTCAGCACTCCTCTTTCTCACCTGCCGTGTGTCAGCGGTCCTCCTCCACAACAACCGTATGTCAGCGGTCCTCCTCCATACGGGCCGTGTGTCAGCGGTCCTCCTCCATACGGGCCGTGTGTCAGCGGTCCTCCTCCACACCGGCCGTGTGTCAGCGGTCCTTCTCTACACGGGCGTGTGTCAGCAGTCCTCCTCACAACGACCGTATGTCAGTGGTCCTCCTCCCCACCGTCGTGTGTCAGCGGTCCTCCTCCACACCGGCCACCCGTGCGGTGTACCTCGCCCGCGGACTCCCCAGCGCTGCTGTTCGTGCCAGCAAGCGCCTCGCCGACATCGAGGCGTGTGTAGTCGGTCGCTGCCCGTTTGGAAGGGCGGTAAACACATTAGCCGTGGCTTGGCTGGTTCACATGCGTCGGCGAACAACCGACACGTGCTGTCTATGGCGCGGTTATGACAAGCCCGCATTCCCGGAAAATGTGCGGTGTATTTATGAATGTGTGACTTTGTTACGCAAGGAGCGTAACGAAAACAGGAAATTACTACCGGATTCCCCAGCGGGGTGAAGCAAACTTTGCGAACGTAACCTACAACGAACTGCTGTCGCCGTTTTTACTCTGCATCAATGCAGTATAAATGGTGGTGGATCGGCTCCGGATAGGATAGATGGGTACAGAAATTACCCTATAGAGACGAGGTAAATGGTAGCGGGAACAACAATGGAACGAAGAAAGAGGAGAGAGAGAGAGAGAGAGAGAGAGAGAGAGAGAGAAGGAAGAGAGAGACGAGAGAGGAGGGGGAGAGGAGAGAGAGAGAGAGAGAGACAGAGAGAGAGAGACAGAAGAAGAGAGAAATACCATAGAGACGAGGTAAATGGTTAGCGGGACAACATGGAACGAAGAAGAGAAAAGAGAGAAAGAGGGAGAGGAGAGAGAGAGAGGAGGAGAGAGAGAGAGAGAGACGAGATGAGGAGAGGAGAGAGGGGAGAGAGGGAGAGACGAAGGACGAGAGGAGAGAGAGAGAGGAGAGGAGAG